GGAGGAGGGAAGTCGTTGGAGAATCGGTTGTTGCTGAGGTCTAATACCTAGAGGGAAATTAGGTCACAAAATGTCTCTGGGACGATGCCGTAGAATCTGTTGGAATTGAGGTGGAGGAGAGTCAGATCGGTGAAGAGGGAAAGCTCTTCCTTGGAGATTGGCGCAGTTGAGATCTATTCCGGTGACTGTGGGGTGGAAGAAGAAGAGTGGATTGTTGTTTGCCAAAGATCCCCTTGTAGGAGCATACATTCTGGCCAACCTAGGTGGCGAGGATGCTGGAAGGGCCAGTGGAGATTGCGGATTTCCAGGCCTGGAGAGCAGAGTAAGGGGTGGAGCTGGCCGTAAAGTTGGGGTTTTGAGGGGAGGTCACTCTGTCGCCAGTACCTACATTGCCGATTCCGATGCTGTGTGGGTTGGAGGAGTAAGAACAAAGACAAGAGGGAGATCTTGGTGTGGGCAATATGTATATTAGTTGATGGGATCTTGGCGACTGTGGATTTGGGGAAAGTACGAGGTGGGAGGAAGGAGGAAGAAGGTTCAGGCAGGTCTAGAGAAGAATATAAAGGGTTGAACCCAGGTTTGGGTTGGTTTTAATGATGTGGCGAGTTTTAATGATGTGACAAGTGGAGTTTTACTTTTGTTTGGTTAAATTTGGCTGACTAGGCGATTATGTTTGCCACATCGGCACTTAACGGACTTTATTAATGAAATTGGACGGAGAGTGACCAAACATGACATGTTTTGCCAAACTTAGTGACCATGATTGATATTAATTTTTCTAGTGACTAAACATAACAATATTTAGTAAATCCAGTGATCAAACTTGGAATTTACCCTTTAATGTTTATGAATTATGATGTTATGATGCAAAGTGGATTACTTTGAGACTTTGTACTTTTGTTATTTACTTGGATTTATGGTATCAAACTTATGCATGTGTTAAAATTCATGGTCTAAGGAAAAATAGATTTTGTCTCCATAGTTTATTCTATTTTAAATGTGATTGACTACACAAACTGTTCATTAATCGCTCAATTTGGTCTGCATGATTTAAACGTACCAGACTACCACGCAAGCGTGGTCTAATTTGGACTATACAATATTTGATCTAGTCTCTGATCTATACTCGTACTTCTCGACTAGTTGTAAGCCCGACCTTTTGGCCGGAAAGGATCCACGAAGTCAGGTTGGGTTGTATGGATAATTTTCAGCGTAAATCTATGCCTAAATATAGTAGTCGATCAATCAAACTTTGTGCTTCATGTATTTATATTAGTTCATACCGATAGAGTGGTACATTTAAATAGACGGATTGGTGGTCATTCGGTTGAAAGGAAATATTTTTTTGTTCCACATGGCCTAGGTAGCTACAATGTAAAAGACTTGGCGGGCGTGGAAAAAAAGTGCACTGAGTAGGATGAAATAATTGAATTAGTTTCGCAATTGTACCACATAACCAAGAGACCTATGTTCATGGACTTAACAGAAAGGACATACTTCAAACAATAAGTCTAAGTACATGCACAATTGTATAAGTGAACGAAAAGAAAGTAGACCTAAAGAGGAAATATTTTTTGCAAGAGCATATCACACTCATTGGTCGAATTGTTCCACATTCCTATTTTGACCATAAACTCATATGAATTTCCATGTAGAGAAGACAAGATGTTGAAGTAGTAGTCCCCCCCTCCCCCCCCCCCCCCCCCCCCCCCCAAGCAGTGTCAACAATGTCCACAATATTGGTAGCTATTCTTCTAAACTCAGATAACGGAAACACGACTTCAATTATTGTTCCTCCATTTGCGAATGTTAGGTGGACCATATATACGCAAAAAGCGTCATCCTAGGAAATGGCTACTTCTTTCACTTCACCACGAAATATGTAATTGTTTTCCTACATAAATCATGAGGCAATTCGTCAATCCATAAACCAAAAGAGAATGGGAAAATCATCATAACAATGCTGTAGTAGCAATGTTAAGAGGTAGAGGTTCATTTTACCATATTCTCTTGGTCGCGTTTACAGAGTTGAGTTCATGAACTGAAGAATATCGGGATCTTGATATGGCATCCGCATATGCTAGTCGTGCGGCCATGGAGGCATTTAGTTGCCTAAAATGGGAATTTTTTTAATCTTAATACTATTAATATTAGGATAAATTCTCATCCCCAAACAATATATTGCATAAGAAACACTTACTGATTTAACAATGGGTGATGGCGGGGACAATGAAGATTGACATAAATCTTTGTCGCTCGAGAGGCATGAAAGGAATAATGAAGATTAACATAAAGAAACACTCACTGATTTAACAATGGGTGTTGGCGGGGACAATGAAGATTGACATAAATCTTTGTCGCTCGAGAGGCATGAAAGGAATAATGTCCTAAGGAACATGTAACATTCAAAAAATAATGGCAGGCAATTGATTGATAATAATGTTTAGCGACAGATATAAGTTGAACTATAAGGTAAAAACGAGGTATATATATATAGTTCCATTTAATGAAAAAAAAAATCACAACCATGCAAAAATGTAGACATAAAAAGTAAATGAAAGAGACCTTATGATTTTTACTTTCGTTGTTGTGGATAAAAAGTAGTGAAAACAACAACCTGACCAACTGCTGCATCATCGGTTGTAAGAGCTTCAAACATTGTGATCAACGAGTCCCATAATAATATTTCAATTATGTCTCCCCTAGATGACGTAAATATTGTAATAAATATGGATAATTGTAAATGAAGGGAAAATTTTAAATTGTGAATACATACTAACTCAAGCAATCAGAGCAAGATTTGTTTGTTGCGAAGAGTGAGAACAGTGGGGTATGGCAACAAAATTGGCGCACAGCTCACTACAACACCTACCAAATCTAAATAAATATTGAAGCATGAGTCATATACTGTTCTTGTGACGATTGAATGTAAAAATTTTGTCTACAACTAAAAAGAAGCAAAGGCAGAAGGTACCTGGGAGGTATAATGGGTTGGCCACAACAAGAGGGAAGTCTTAGGAGGACAAAAATCGAAAGCTGAAATGGGGGATGTCCAATGCCTGTTCGAGCTGTTCAACCAACGTATTGCCATGAAACGAACTCATCAAATCATTTACACCAACCCGTTGGGAGGAGAAGTTTTCTTCAACGTCAAAATCGCTGATTCTATATATCCTGCCTGGACAAAATGTCGACAGAAATGTGTGTACATCACAGCGACGAATGACGGCTTGAATCTGTACGCCCTATATAGAATAACATGGAATATAATTCAGTGGGAGGACATTGTGATTAAGATAGTAAATAGCAAGAAATACTTACCAATTTGTCAAGGAACAAAAGCATCACATGTTGAATGGTGTCGCCATTTGCAGCCAATTTGACCCATAACCTCAACAGCCTAACTCGGATAGCCCACTGATTACCATGAAGAGTCAATCGTACAATTGGGTAAACATGCATTTTCTGAGAGTCTATGAGAGTGAAGGCTGGATTGGGATAATGAGATCTCTAGGGTATGAATGAAGAATAGTTGGAGTTACTGACTAACCGAACTGGTTGAGGGTTTAACTGAGTTTGAGGTAAGTTGAAATACACTTTGCTGGCACGCGAGCATGCAAAATAGTAATAACCTAAAAGCATTAAATCCCAAATCAGATGTGCAGGTGGTGCACTTGAAATCAACTGGTATAACAGGTAAGTTGCAAGAGAAGGTGGTAGTACCAATATAGTTCTTGTAGACATAGACAGAAGTGAATGCTGCCAATGTTTCTACTTGTGGCTGATTAGGAATTGTAGCTTCAAATTCATCAATTAGGGAATCAAAGAGGAGGACTTCAATAGTGACTCCCCTCAAGTAAACATGTGGGAACATTAAATCAGACAGAAACACTGACCTTGTCATACAGAACTGAAAGACTATATTTAATAAGAAATTTACTTACCGGAAAAGCCTTATGAAAACACATGTTTTCCTCACAGTTAAAAGGCCATCGAAGAGACCTTCATTCGATTGAGCAGCAACAATGTGTCCAACAATATCTTTTAACAAAAAATAAATTATTTGATTGCATACCAGAAAGCTATGCAAAAGAAGTGTAATACTAATTTGGTTCCATCCTACCATGCATATATTTATGATTTGCATGTGCATGTGCATGTGGAATTTCATTCCAAGAAAGGAACCAGAAGAAAAAATCACGTATGTTTGTTGTATTCGACATCGCTTGAATAGACGTGTTAGTGTGGAAAGCGATTTGCAAAGGTGTAACAACAACTCTATGGAGTACAATGAATGGTTGAACTTCAAACTTTCCTAATGCATATATCCCTCCCTCATGCACAACATCTTTGAACTTGGGGACTTCTGCACGATGAATGACAGCTTCCATCTCTGTTCCCTATGATTAAAAAAACAACCAAATCATGAATTTGGGTAATGGTTTGTGTTTCATTCGGTTCAGGTGATGATCTTTAGAGGTTATGGTTGGAAATTGAGTATAGCTACTCGTGTTTTTAATTTGGAATGACTTGGTCTATAGGTGAATAAAGATAAGGTGCATGAAACATTAATTTAAGAAGCCGTTGTAGGGCCTAAAGTTTTGATTTGTCGCCTTAATTTCACTCCAGAATTTGAATGTTTTATTGCCATCAAAAACACTGATCCATGCATCCATCATTGCAATAATTAAATTCACCATTCCATGGGTCAAATCTATTTTTCTTCTTTAACGATGTGAATGTATGTACTTTTATGGTTGTGACTATGTGTCAACTAAATAATCCCTTGTTACGTATGCCAAACTAAGCGAAACAAAACTCTCTGCTGACTTTATATATATATATGGCGAGTTCTACGGTACCCTGGGTGAAATCTGGGGTACCGCATATCTTGAGTATGAAAACACTATCTAGACCTTGAATTGACCGATCTTTCAGACATGATACTATACTCTAACACTTAAAGATCAAAATCTAGGTGTTAACTCTCCCAATCTTATACTCTAAGATCAATTTAATTAGAAACAATAATCGACGGTTATGATTCATCCAAATATAGGCACAAAAAGGAATGCACCATCTTAGGGTTTATAGATTATGATTTAGATAATTATGACCTACGGTTCACTCATTAAGGGTTAGGGTATAATATCAGACACAAAAATCCTGGTAATTCAAGGTCTAGATAAAGTTTCCATACTCAAGGTATGCGGTAACCCGGATTTCACCCGGGGTACCATAGAAGCCACTATATATATATATATATATATATATATATATATACTTGAAGGTCGCAGAAATCATTTTCTCAACTAAGATGCATAAAAACGACAAACTGGAATGCAAGTTACGACATGGAATTTTTACAGTGCATGGATATTCTTATAAATCATGAGCTTGTCAACGCAAGGTTCAGAAAACTTAAGGCATGAGATGTGTTTGCTAATCTCATCATCCAACAACAACATGTTGAGGTACTAAATTCCTTCAAGACCAGCAATGATTGTTGCCGATATTCAAATCACTCTTAACCCGAATAGAAAATAGTTGTGCGTATGATACACTAAGCTCTCTAAGTCTGCGGAACACCATGGCTGCACAGAAGTGAAGAGTAAATTGATCTTGTGGTGACACACCAGGTGTTTATTGGATTGTGAAGCACTTAAATAGGCGAATGATTTGACTGAAAAAGTGGGGTGATTAGTGGCCCTACTTATGTGGAACATGGGATTAAGCTTATATCTCACAAAACATGGGATCATCCCATGCATCATGGGGTAGAAGTAAGTAATGCATCAGTGTGTTGGCATGGAGAATGGCCAAATTGGACTACGTGGTCCATTATAGGTGGTAGGGAGTAATTTGTTAATTTAAACAAATGCTGTATGGAGACATAGTTGGGTGCTTTGAATTATCTTATCTAAGACTGATTTTTGTTGAACCTTTTCATTTTGTTACTTGAGCTCTATTAATACAAAGCCTTGGCTCATGTCTACTTTGGCAGAACTTTTGATTTGTTCTCAAGTTTGGTCAACTGGTCTGCGATGAAACATCTTAACTTTATTACTAGATTTGGGCATGGATGCTTTAGGCCAACTCTGCCTATATTAAACTCAAATTAGTTTTTAAAGGTTGATCTGACCAGTAAGTAAAAAGAACATTTCATGACGGCAGAAAATGTAAAAGACTTGCAGGCCTGCCTTTTATTATGAATTATTACGAATACAAGGTTCAAGCTTTAGATTATGTGGCAATTTCAATAAACTGAAGTGCTTCCTGTAGGGAGTTGTCGTACTGACGTTCAAATAGTAATGTATTTGTCTTTAATTTCTAGCTACTGAGGAGAGGCTCAAAGATTACAAAACATAAGAGTTGAATCACCATATGTCAAGGACTTTTTTGACCGCAAGCATAATCCAAATATCTCAAGGAGTTCAATCCATAACATGATATTATAAATTTCAGAATTTCAATCCATAGTAGCAACCAACCTATATTTACATATCATAAAACAACTAATGAACCACAAGACATAAGTCTGTTCAAATGGGCAAACATTAGAACAACACATCCTACTTCGAGTATAAAAAGATCACTCTAAAATCTTCGTGTAGACAATGTTCTGCATAGTTGTTGATTGCTGATTTTCATTGTCGAAACTTACTATCTTAATGCCACCTTTTCGCGAAACACATGACAATGCAACATATAATTGACCATGGCAAACACTTGCTTTTGCAAGCAAAGACCAACATGTTGCAGAGTTTGTCCCTGGCTTTTATTGATTTTCATGGCAAAGGACAATGCAATTGGATATTGTCTCCACACCAATGTGAAGTTTAAACTCTTGTATCATTCTGACAGAGTTAGTCTGGGCATGAAAAGTCGCTCTCCTATATTTGAGGCAGTAAGAATCTCAACTTCAATGAACCATGTACCCAATTTTGTAACCACCATTCTCGTTCCAATACAAAGGCCAATAGTTTGATCCATATTCCTTAGTAGAATAACAGGACATCCAACCTTGAACTTCAACTCAAGGGGTGGGAAATTAACGATCTTCAAAGAGTTCAAGAACTCAACAGAGTAATCACTCTCCATTACATTGGTATTCCCTGGATCAATTTCAGTCGAGTCGTAGCTAAGATAAGCTATCTCTTCACCAAGAAAGGCTGCTAATACCTTACTGTTGATGTTAGATACTGTCTCATTGTGAGGGGCCAATATAGCTCGTCCAACCAAATACTTTGAATCTGTGTGACTAAGTGGCAAATCACCATAAGTAGCACTAATAAAATCAGCTATAGGATCATGTGTAGAACGAATCAACATTTCAGGTGGAATAGCTATGGTCGATTCACCAAAAATATTTGCATTCAGACCATCACCTATGTCGAGAAGCCAACGACTGAGTAGAGCTATTTCTGCATTATCTTCTCCTGACTCAGATGCGCCTTGTGCCAACCTCATATTTTGAGTCAATTTTAATACTGAGATATTAGACCTTAAATAAGATTTCTTAATGGAAGACCCAACAATTTGGTCGCGCATGCCTTTCAAAACAACTGGCAATGTTTGTCCGAAATCACCCCCAAAAACGACAATCATACCACCAAAGGTCTTGTCTTCACTATTTTCATACTTCACACGAAGAATATCTGTTAACGTCCTATCCAAAGCCTCAATGTTATGCTTATGAGACATCCAAGCTTCATCCCAAATGATCAGTGAGGTGTGCTGAATCAATTCAGCCGATTCCCTACCTTGTTCAATATGACAGGTTGATGTGGAGTCACAATCAATAGTTATGTGAAAACGTGAGTGGGTTGTTCTTCCTCCAGTTATTAATAAAGCAGCAATACCAGATGAGGCAACACAAAATACAATTTTGTTCTCAGACCTTAATTTCAAGCAAATTGACTTCCACAAGAAGGTTTTGCCTATCCCTCCGAAGCAATCGACAAAAAAACACTTGCCGCTATCTTCTGCAACAGATTGTAAGATTGCATCGAAACCTTCCTTTTGATATGTATTTAGCTTTAGATATTGTGCTTCCCATGCTACTTCCAAATCTGCTGAAACATAATTCAATTCAGCAGCCATCATTCGATTGGAATATTGAGAGGAACTACCTTGGCTAGGAATTGACAAACCAGGAAAATAATATAGAGACTTCCAATTCATTTGCAATATCTTCTCTATCTCAATCAAACACAATTCTTTCAGTTGTTCTGAAGATAACTAGAGATCAGGTAAATTCAACAATCTTGGTTGGTGGAATAAAAGATCATCACTCAACAGCTCCCAATTATTATTCCATAATGCCTCAACATTTGACACTTGATTGTGAATCAAAATGGTGATAAAAAGATTCCTCATTTTATATCCAGAACCCTACAATGATAATTCCTTCAAGCAATCATTCCATTCAGTATCCTCTGCCAACAATCCAAGAGAATAACAAGCATTCTGAAATGTATCATGCAAAACCCCATTTACCGTTCTTATCTCATCAAAGCTTCGACAAACCTCTCACAATATGTAGTAACATCCTAAGATAGTACATTTCTTTTGCAGATGGATAGGTATAATACAATCTCCCTATACAAAGTTTTTGCTTCCTTTCTCGCCATTTTTTAGCTTTCTATTCCACGTGAAATACTGTGGGAATTCAACAAACGTGTATTTCCATGCAGAGGGAGAGTCACGATTCTTTTGCATCCATCCCAAAAGTAAAGTGGTTGTATCATATAGAAGGATGTTACGAATATTGGATTGTTGGGTGGTATAGACTTTGTTTTCTCCAGGCAAATGACAAGATAATCTCATAACTGAGGGAGAATGATTGTACAAATCAAATTTGAAGAGTCTCCAACACGCTTCACCAGGAGTTATATATCGACAATCCATGAAAGCTTTGATCTCATCAATACGAACAACTTCTCTTGAATCACTACTGTTAGATTCATAGGATACACCATTCTGCGCTACAGTTAATGTTGCAATTGCTCGATCCTCGGGTTTGTTGATATACTTGAACAAGTAACGGATGACCCTGCAAAATTTAATAAAATTAATTATACACAGATGAGGAAATTAGGTGAACAAAAATGGTCACAAACAACACGATTCACATGTCCAGGCTTAAGCAAACTTGAGACAACTTAGAACCATGAAGGACAAACAAAATTGTGAAATATATTAGGCAAGTGGTTCAATCCAAATAATGCAAAAAAAGAGTAAAAAAGAAGTACTAGTTAGCATGAGTTGTTTACGGGTTTTTGTAACAGGCCAAAATCCATGGAATTAAAACTCTTGCCTGCAGATGTAACTGGACGAAGTAGAAGCAACAGTTCAAGGGCAAATTAGTGCATACATAAGCCAGAGATAAGATATGAAACGCTAGAATGTTCTATTCAGAACAATTATGCAAGATAGAACAATTGATTTTGGTCATGGAATGAAATTCCTTAACAATAATTAAATGGAATGAAATAATAATTCTGTTCAACATGAAAAAATATGTTATATTTGGCCTCAAAAGAATAAATTAATTTCATACCTTGTTTTGCTTCAAAATTCTACGTTGATATGTGCAACAAATCGATTATCCATTTTGTCGGCGAGGATATTGTGCAAAACCATTCTCATCTAATGTTGTTTGACTAAAATATTGTTTTGAAAACTTCTTAGAACACTTTCCATCTTTCATGCAAGGTGACTTTGGTGCAACTGAACCACAGGGACCATGTAACATAAAACTTGTTACGGTTTGGTAGCAATCAGGATCTAAATATGGATAAGGAATCTCCGATGAGATTATGGAATCAATATCTGAAATCCCATTTGGTTTATCTTTAGGATCCAAAAATACCAAAAGGTGAGAATGAGGGAGACCTCGTTTCTGAAACTCGATTGCAACAACGTATGTAAAGAAAATATTAAAGAGTTAATGACCAAGGGTGAACTAATAACATATTTGAAATTTGAAAATAAAATAGTATAGTAACTTACATCCACACGTGATTCCAAAGATTTTCTTGTCCCTAATTTCAACAATTAATTGATTCAATTTCATCTTGAATACTCTGGCGAAAACATCAGCGTAATTTGAGTCTTTTCGACCTTCTTCTTGTAGCAAGTCAAGCATGAAATGAATCTCTGGCCAATTCGCGTTACATGTGAATGTGATAAACAAATCTGGATAGCCTATGAATCGACAAATCACCATTGCATCTTGAAAATTTTCATATTTATCTCGTGGACTTCCAGTATGCAACGCAGACAGGATGATATGTTTTCCTCTCAATTTAAGCTCAGTATCACCTCTCATAAATGAATCCATCAATCCTTGGAAATAATGAGCTCGTAGTTTTGATTGATTGTTGCGAATCCAATCTAGTTATTCAGCTTCCACCAGAGCATATGCGTTCACGACGTATTGTTGAAATAATTTTCCTCCAAATAGTAACGAATTGGACTCACCAACACGTGTATGGAGTCGATAGCTGTAATAATCACACTGAGAAACTGTACGGTCTCCTTCACTGTTTGTTTTATATGGATGATGATATATAAGATCTGAATGCCACCCATCCTCCCCATAAGGAAACAAAATAGGGTATTGCAAAGCCATCAAACTGGGATGGTGAAAGTTGATTTGCTGCATATCCAAACTATGTTGTTGAACAACAATATCGGGTCCAAATGTTTCTTCTCCTACTTCATTAACAATTAGTGCAGCAATTTCATTAGTTGAAGGTAAATCATACTCTCTCTCCCCACTAGATCGAGTACCAATCAACTTGATCTGAACATGTTCAATATCCTCTTCATGTTTCTTATCTCTTGCAATACAAAATGTCTGAACTAAAACATTATGCTCATGGAACATCTCTTGCAGTCTCTGAACAATGTGTTCACATAGAGGGTTGACTTCTCTACCGAGATTGTAGAAATCAAGTCGATTTTGTACCTCATTCGTTGTGTCATGAATATACAACTGAGCGAACTTTGGTGGCATACCGTCAGCCGACACCAAACTTCCGATACGATGGTAGATTTGACCACCAATTGAGTAGACATACACACCAGGACCATGATTTATCGATTTATCCACCTTACCACCAAGAGATATAAAAGTAAAGACACCGTTGTATCCATGGATGAACTCACGAAAATGATGGGCAATTGGCGTTTATCCTTCAAATAGCTCTTTCAAGAATTCTGGTGGGTCTCGCCGAGGTGGTAGTCTGACCTTGCCTTGTTTACAACAAAGTGAGAAAATGGGAGTTTCAAACTTTCGCGGCGTCGCAACACTTTCCAACCACCATAGCTTAGCAAGACAAAATGGACAAACGTAACATGGCTCTCCGACGGAAAAAAAACTTCAACATCGAGACAAACTACATATAAAGAAAAAATACAGAAAAGGGTAATTAGTAAGAGGTCCATCACAATAGACACATTCTAATGAGTAAAGGCAAACTTCAAAGCCTACCCATACTGAGACACACATATTTGTTGGGCAGATGAGCCATTATACTCCTTTCCCGATTGGTTTTGCTTCCGAAATGGTGTCTGCCCTTTTCGTTTTTGATGTAAGTAAATCCTACGTGCTAATCTATTACGGGCAGCACTAAGTGATGAAAATTTAGCCTCCAATGGTTGAACTGAAATAAGCAAAAACCAAATTTAAATTAACATTAAATAAATGCCTTCCAAGTTAAATTGGTTGGAAAGACATAATCCAAACTTATTTAAACAAAGAAACAAATGGGTACACCATATACCATTTTGTTGTCTACAATGACGTTCCTTATTGGCGATGAGAGCACGTCGTCTCTATCGTGCAAGTTTAGGCAATTCAGCAGTAATTCTAGTTAGTTCAGTCTTCAAAGTTTGTAGTACTGCCAAAATATCGATCATATACCCAATAATTTCGAATGTATTAACTCAGAAAAGCAATCCATCGAGAAAACCATCAACCTAGGCAGAATGCTTCCCCTTATACAATAACTGTGTTTAAAGGTCGATCGTACAAAAATAATAGTACATTATATCATGTTGTACATTACCTCTGTCTAAGACCTCAACATCTTTTTGAACCGACGCAGGAGCATTAGTTACATGAGTAGATTGGAAGAAAATACCACGACGTTTCCCTAGATCATGACAACAAACAATTCAACGACCCCAAGTTGTACTTTAGTTAATATTTATAAGCAACTTTTGTTTGAATGAAAATGTTGAATTTTGGTATTCAAACTCATAGGGCACACTAGATCTCATGTTACTAACATCGAGTTGGGAAAGTGATGAGTCCCCCTCTTCACTTTCACGGGTATCCATATTTCGTATTCACCAGGATACACAACATATGGAAATGGCGTGTTCAGTTGTTGTGATGATTTAAGAAGTATGAGAAGCTACACCAAATCCTAAGAAGCATTAGAATGGGGGAGACTTAGACATAAAGTGAGGGGTATGCATCATCGCAAACAACATACAGGGAACAACATTCAACTCTAATTGACAATGAAACACAAACTGAGGCAGACAACCATATTGGAAGTGATGAGTGAAAGGTGATACAAATAAATCCTAATCTTCATATTTTGCATGAAATTTTAGAAGTAGAACAAAGTTAAGAATGCTCATTTGTAAATTTTATGTGATATAAACAGTCTATATGGGAACTTGGCAAACGCTTTTCATCAAAGGTAAACTTATATAGGGTTGTGCCTAACTCTTGTGATATACAGCAGAGGAAAAGCGTAATTACACTTATATATGCTTGAATACAGATTTCAACAACTACTAACACAATTCCGTTGTACTTTGTAAGAACCCCGACAGATTGAAATGGTTTGGGAAGGAGTATCCATGTTGAGCTTCTGTTGCAAAAAGTACAACTTCAGTAGAGGAATCAGAATTTGGGCAGACGACGGTCGGATGCAACCAAACTTGAATGAACGCTTGCTGAAATGGAAAAACAATATTAAGATAATAATATATTGGCATGATAATCCTAGAAAACACATCGAATAAGGCAAATTAGACTTCCAAAGTCAAAAGGGAAAAAGTATGCTAGCCATAACCAAGCTATGCAATGGCATTTTCAGTATGCACTTGGTCAATTGAGCAAAACTCATATGATGAACACAAAATAAGAATACACTTTAACTAATAGACATACCAACTCGATATAGAAAGTGTCTTACCCCTCAACTAACTAAGCAAGCTACTACCTAACGTCTTATGACACTACCAAACTGATAATTGATGTCAAGGTGATAATTTGTTTCTTGCCAACATTAGGATCGACTACAAAAACATGACATGTTTAACTGAAAGATGCATACACAGAGAAGTGATAACCTACCAACTCAATTATCAGAGTCAATAATAACCAAGCAGCTGTGAAATTACCATCTACCTTACTCTGCAGCAACAAAACAACATGGTCTATAGTGCAATATGTCTTGCTTCGTATTAGGCCTGCAACACATCACATCCCAACTTATTATCAGAGTCGGTAAAGCATGGAATAAATTTGAAACAACTCAACAGACACTCATTGTTTCCCATATGCATACAGGGGGTAATGGTATGGTCAGATTAGGTGCGATTCGCTACTCACATTCCGCAAGATAGTGGAACCATTCTTTCTAATAAATGAGGCAAAAAGATTCACGCATTGCATGATGGAGTTATAAATAGTAGCATGAAATGGTCATCCTAAGTGGGCATCGAACTTGTATAAAGACTATGAGAGAAATGAGGGCCACCAAAAACACCAGCATTGCCTACTTAACATACCAGGATGATCGTAATTCAAATCCTATATTGTAACCGGAAAAAAGAGGCATCCCTTGTCAAAAGTAGCTCACATATGTAATGTAAGAAACAAAGTATCATAAATACGTAATCCCACAATGATGTGCGCATGAGATTTGGGCATCTGAATTCACGATAAGAAGCAACAAACCATGCACAGATAACCAAACCAAATTACCTATAAACTCTGACATCCAATATTAGAAAGTAACGAAAGTGAGGGGGTTAGAGTAAAGGTCTTAAATGGTGAAGCTATTCTATTGAAGTCGACTTTGCAACATAGTCTACGGATTGGACTTTGCTATACAACCTCCTCGGATTGCAAGGGAAGCAGCTGGTACAAACCCTAATCGCATAGATCCGAGCCAATTCCAACCCCAAATCCAACCCGTTCATGAGAATGAAGAACCCTAAGCCCAACCAGACCACAAAGACACAGGGGTATACCTGAACTCGAAGAACCATCGACAAAAAACAAACTGGAATTGGTACACAACCAAAGCCCCCATAGACGATTATTAGCCAAATATGAAACTGAGGTTCTAAATTCAATTGGATGAGAATACATATACAATAATGGGAAGAAGAATACCTGGATACAAAGTTTTCGTCATTAGCCTAAAAGGGTTCTGCCGTGTTCGCCATTATTGCGAGAGGGAGAGTTGAAATGGGGATTGACGATCTGGTTCCAAATAGGAGAAGAAGAAATAATCAGAGGGAACAGCTGCAGGGAAGAACTCGTGAATCCCAAATGCAGTCCGCTGTAGGGTAACAACCGCCCACCAAATTGCGGTCTTGTTCTCCGAAACGCTTACAGATCGAGGTCTTCTTCTCGAAGGTTGGGACAGGGAAAGGAAAATGATGAGTTCTCTCTCTTCAATCGAATACGACACTGAAGAGAGATAAATGGGAAACGCGTAAGTTTGGCCGGCTTGGAAAGAGAGATGGTCCAATTACTAAATTACCCCTTTTGAAAATGAAGGAGAGAGCAGAAAATTTGAAACCCTGAAAAGTGTGCAATATATTAATGGTGGATTTGAACCATAGATCGTAGGTGTGATCCGAGCTTAACTAGAGCACACCATTTCCTAGCACTCCTCACCGAGAGGACGGGGACAGTGCGCTATTATTATTTTTTATTTTAATTGATAAATAAATAAATTATGTAATTACCATCTTATCATTCATTAAACTAGATAAATCTAAACCATTAGATTTTTATGAGGTTCAATAGTTGACATTGGCTTAGTCATGTGACTAAGAGACCCCTTAGTCACTTGATTGTGGCCCTCCTCTTCACCCCACCACCACCATTTGTGCGCCGCCGTCCCTTTATGGGGTAATTAGTATAAAAGGTCACAAACTTATAGACTTAGTACAAAACAGTCACAATTCTTTGATTTGTAAAAAATTGGTAACAAACGTTTGAGCGAATATCAAAATAGCATCTTCGTCACTCTCCGTCAAAAATATTAATTAAAAATTCAAAATATTCATTAAAATAGTTACCCTGGCCCAAACCACTCAAACGGTAAGACCGGGAAAATCCACTCGCTTCCCCTACCCCTGTCTGCATCAACTCGACATCGCTCACGCCGTTCCGTTTCCTTAGTCCACAATCACCTGTCGCCGCCTGGTCGCCATTCAACTGTCTTCGTCCAGCATCCCCACCGAGAGAAGATGTACATCGAGGCAAATTGAGAGGCACTGCCACTAGTTTCTTCTTTTCTTCACCGTCGCGCTTATGCCCCTGCTCGACGAGAGTGATAGAGAGAGAGAAAGGCAAAGGTCAAGGTAACAGACGAGGAGAGAGAGAGAGAGAGAGAGAGAGAGAGAGAGAGAGAATGTGGAGTTATAGAGGAATTCAGGGGAATTGAATTGGTTGGGATCATTGTTTTTCCCTTCCCCCTCGGTTGGGATTATAGCTTTCTTCACCCCATTACTTTCCCCTTACCCCTCCTGATCTGGGATTGAATTGGTTGGGATTGTTGTCAATAAGGAAGGTGGAGTTGGAGAGGGATTCAGGGGAAACATAAATTAGGTTTCTTATTCATCCACTGGTAGAGGAGGGTTGGAAGAAAGCTTTGGGCTGACTCAATTTAGCCCTCCCCATGTTGGCTGGAATGGGCAATGAAGAAGATGAGGCAATAGAACTGTTGTTTCATCGATGAAGCGACAGGATGAATGCCGCCGGCGAGGGGGTTTGATTGGTGAAATTGGGGTTTAGCGGTTTTTGACCAATTTTTAACCGGTATGAGTACTGGTTGGTTTTAGATATTAAATTGGAGTTGTTTATTATTTGTTTTGATGAGGTGGAATGCTGACTAGGGAAATTTAACAAAAAATTGGATGGAGATTAACAGAAGTGACCATTTCGTACAAATTTAAACTTTTGTGACCGTGTTGGTACAAATGAAAGATTTGTGACCATTTTGTACTAAGTGCAAAGATTTATGACCGTTTATGATAACTACCCTCCCTTTATGTCTTGCTCGCCACCACCTCCCTCCTGCCCTAAATATTTACCAAATCAAAGCCTAATTATGTCCGCAAACATTCTCCTTCCTCTTCCAGTTCCATCTCCCGCTGCCACCCATGCGCAGCTTAGCTTCCCCATGTCTATCCTACGCCGTCTCGGCCCCCGCCATCTAACCTCCTCTCACCTCCTCCATCGAAGACGTCTCTCCTCCTTCGCTGCTGCCGCCGTTTCCCGCCAGGATACTGCTGCTTGGACCCAAGCCCCGCTCTCCGAAATCGAGCCCGTCGCCGAGTCTCTCTTCCACGTCAGCATCGACGTCTCCGACCACCCTGACCTCGCCGCATCCCACACGCTGCCTGGACAGTACCTGCAGCTCCGAATCCCTGAGGTGGACAAACCTTCTTTTCTGGCCGTCGCTTCACCTCCTTCGTTTGCTGCATCTAGAGGCGCGTTTGAGTTTCTGGTGAAGAGCATCGCTGGCTCCACGGCCGAGCTCTTATGCGCCTTGAAGAGAGGAAATGTCGTGGAATTGAGCCATGTAATGGGGAAAGGCTTCGGGATCGATCAAATCGAGCCGCCTGAGAAGTACCCTACCGTTTTGATATTCGCCACCGGCTCTGGAATCAGGTAAGCAACTTTCATTGGGTTTTCAAATGGGAGATTCGGGGGCCCTCCTAATGATTGTATATTTGTCCGGTGCAGTCCAATTCGATCTCTCATTGAGTCAGGGTTTGGTGCTAAACAGAGATCGGACGTGAGGCTTTATTACGGAGCCAGAAACTTGAAGAGAATGGCTTACCAGGTTTGCTTCCTCCCATCGATTATCCGTTGGCATGTACTCGTTGCCAGTTTGTGTGAATGTTGAATTTGGTAGCCTCTGGTTTTTGTTAATAGGATAGGTTCAAAGATTGGGAGTCGTCTGGGGTTACAATTGTGCCTGTGCTATCACAACCAGATAATAGTTGGAGTGGTGAAGCTGGTTATGTACAGGTTAGTTGTATGTGCTCTAGTCCGTTTCCCGTGATTGGTTGGCTGCTTATATGGTATGGATCTAGTAAATGCCTTTCTACTCGATTGCTATGCAGGCTGCTTTTGCGAGGGCCACTCAGATATCAAGCCCAGCAGGTACTGGTGCTGTGCTTTGTGGCCAGAAGCAGATGGCAGAGGTTCGTTGCATATATGTTTTCTCTCTATTTATGGTTTTTAGATGTTGTACGTGCCCTACGGTTTGAAATTGACCTAGGTAGTTATGGAACTTGATGCAAGTCAAAAGATAATGCTATAGATTTATGATGGAGTGTATTTAGCATGCAGTTGATTAGGTAGCCTTGAATTGTAACATCTGCGGAACGCGGAGGCAAAGTCAAAATGTTTAAATCATTAGGGAAGAAGTTATGTCCAGCTTCAATAGTTGCCAGTGAAAACTGTGGATTCCCCTCAATAAGAAAAAAGCATTTGCTGGATTCGCTTATGAGATGGAAAATATTAGGATTTACTTCAATCTTGTCTGCAGCATGGTTGATTCTTCATTGTCCGTTTGCTGCCTCCAAAGACTTTGTGATGTGCTTATTTCTTAATTGAACTTGATGATGATTTCCGTCAACAATTTCACACTGTATGGTTTCTCACTGCTGTTTTCTCACTCAACGCGAGATAACTAGAGAATCAATAGGATACTTGAGACAACTTTGTAATTAGGCATAAAAGGGTGGAAGAAACAAATGTTAGAAATCAGTCCAGTACGTAATCTTGCTTCCAGTCAGTGCTTGTGAACTGGGAGATATTGGAGTTGTGTTTCACTTTCCATGCACTTAACTTTGGATGCCTCACCACCCTGTACCAAGAATTGAGTCTCTGTAGTTGGCAACCTTGTTTGGCTTTGTCCTTCAGAAATCACTGGAAGTGCCTTTTCGTTGTTTTGATATTGACCGAAACCTGCCATAGTGTCATGTGGCCCTTCTTCTGTTTTTGTGTGGATAAAACTTGGAAACTTTCATCCCCACACTTTGTTCCTCTATTCAGCCATTCAATTTTTTCCATCCACTATGGCCTGAACTTGACAACTTTGCTGGACATGAGACTCTGAGGTTGAATCTAAAAGTTTTGGCTTCTTAGTACTAGGGCCTTCCTTCTTGCTGCGTAGGCTGTTGTACATGAACCTTGTTAATCAGCCTAATGCAAGTTAGGGAACAGAATATGTGATGTGCGCTAGTGTTTGGTGCAAACTGGTTAAGTATATTGATGAAAGATGTGTGGGGATGAATTAGGAACGTTGTTGAATATCTTTTTTTTTTTTTGCTGAAAGTAGGGGAGCTGTTGAACCTTGTTGGAAATGCTAGGAAAGGTTCTGATATTCTTCATAGATGGTGTTGGAATTTGTTATTCCTGTGCTCGGACGAGTAGCTTACTGCAAATGTTAATTTATGGAGCTGTATGTATGCAGGAGGTAACCTCAATTCTTGTAGCGGCGGGCGTTTCAACAGATAAAATACTGAAGAACTTTTGATATGGAAAATGGTATCAATTCTTTGTTATTGTAAGTGGCAACTGGCGAGTGGGTGATGCAATGGGGGTGATGTTTTTGTCTCTCAGCTTAGCTTAATAACACCAATTTTGGTAGTTATTCATCTGCCATAGAATATTGCTAGCCTTGGAAAAATTCCGGACCTGATTCCAAAGAGGTTAAATGTAACGGTACATCTCTGAATCATAATACGAGAAAAAAGAAGGTAATGTATACACAGCATATTTATTTGACATTGGATGTACAACTTGACTTCATTTTTGCTAAATATACATAGTCACTCTCATATTGTGGATGTTGCAAGAGTTGCTGATAAAATCCAAAGTAGTGTTATTTAGCCACCATATTTAAGGTCATTTCGCGGGTTCATTCGTTGATATGTCATCAAATATATTATTAATTTGTTCTTGGAGGAGAATATTGTCATATTAGGGTACCCTAATATTAGATGATGTGAATGTTTTCGGTGTGGAATATATTTTTAATTTTTTTATACTATGATGGTCAACACTCTTAGTCTTGATTCCATCCAAGTTAGACCAGACTGGACACATAACATAGACCAAATCACCCCTAATTACATATTCTTCTGGGTTTGTTCAGGGGAAAATACCTTGGGTATCACTTGAATTTTTGAAACCATACTACTTATATTAATATAGGACGTAGGGTATCATTGACGTCCTTCAATTGAGCGTATGCTCATTTTTTGGTACTATTAACTGACGACCCGAATAAAAAAATATTTTTCACACATTAGTGTTGATCATGGGTTTCATATGTGCTGAGTCACTTTTAGAGGGAAAATTGGCGCCAAATTCACCATCCTTCCCTTTTAACTCAGACTCTCTTTTTGTCTTCCCATTCTCTACCCCTGCCAACTAGGGATGGCAACAAAACTCGAACCCACGGGTAGCCACCCGACCCAATCCGGTCAACGTAGGTAAAATTCGTGTTGACGGATTTTGGGCCGGGTTTAGGTTTAAACCCGCTACACTATTCATTGGGTTGGGTTTGGGTTTAGGTAAACCCGACCCATGGGTACCCGCCCACATCCATATAATTAATTTTTTCAGGTTATTTGCAATATATCAATCTTAAATAACTAATCTTCTTTATGTTTGTGGAGACATGTCTAATTTATTCTTTCAAATTGTGTACAATGAAGTTGATATTATGGAGTGGAGAGTGAAGAAGTTTAGTTGACAAGGAGGAAAGAGCTTTCAATTAATCATGTTGTTTATAGATGTTTATCTTTAATTTGAACAATTTGTATTGATAATTTCGGGTTTGCTTGTATGCTCTAGATTAGTGTTTTTTGTAAGGATATTTTTTATGAGAAAATTGATGTTAGACTTTTATTTTGAAAGAAATTTGTTATTGTAAATTTTTTACCATAAAAATCCACGGGTACCCATGAACTCGCGGATACCCAGCGGGTTGGGTTGGGTTTGAGTTTTTCAAACCCAACGGGTTTTCGGCTCGAACAATTTCTGGTCACCGGAATCTTTGGCCCGCCGTCTGTGCCCTAAAAATCGCCGGAAAATTGTTCTAAACTTGAAAAAATTGATGAACCTGCTTAGTGATGATTCATGGATGCGTTTTCGTCGATGTTCGGCTTTTCCGATGATTTTTCGACGAGCGTCTGATTTTCTTTTCCAATATGATTTGTGAGAGTTGGATAAGTTGTAAGGAAGTAAAAATTCTTTACCAAGATGTATGTATAAATGATTTGAATTAAATTTTTTTTTTTTGCTGGCGGCAAATAGCATGTCCCATCTATTGACTGTTGCGTTTTACTTTTGTAATCCACTGCCTATTAGTATCTAACGGGGGAAGAACAAGGCCCATCATGCCCATGACATGAGGGTAGCCCAGTTGTCGCCTGCAACCATCTCACCACCGTGACCAGGACAAATAAAAAGGTCACACCACTTGCCGACATATAAGGATAAGATCAAGCCACAACGTCACACCACTAGCCTTTGGGGGATGAATAAGCAACTAAATCCAATCATGTCCCTCGTTTAGTTGAACTCAAATTAGGTTCTTTATACTGGGTAACCTTTGGCCGAAGGCAGAATTTAGGAATTTTGGATTAAGCATAAAGCTCGCTCCAGCACCATATAGATTAAGCATAAGGAATCCAAGCACTTTACTGATATCGATAATCAACAGTATAGTGTGTTTATATATAGAGTATGGTGGCTTTGTTGGCTCCTGCAATTAGTGGCGGCGCCACAGCAGCCCAAGGTGGGTCAGCTGCACCACCTTGGGTTTAACTGTGATGCTGGAACCACTTAAAAATTCTTGATGTTTTGGTACTGCTTTCATTTGTAATTTCTTTGCTGGGAATTTTGGTCTCTATTCTTTGTGTTCTTCCAATACTAACCTACAGGGGAAAGGCTTTGATCGAGAAATACATCATTTCCACGCAAAACTTGTGTTCTTAGTTAAACGACAGTGTTCTGTTTAGCTGGGGACTTGACTTGAGTCATTATTTTGATAGTTTGTTTGTAGGCTTTTGGGTGAGGATGATTTGGGCTTTGCTTGATTGTTATGTGAACTAACATTACAATTTGGGCTTTGTTTGTTTAACTTTAGCTAGATTAAGAGTTCAATTCACTTTGGCATTGTGTGATTCGTATATTTGAAAAATGAAAGTTTTGATAAAATCTGGATTTTGTAAAACTATGGATATATGAGGATTTTGGGTTCATCATGAACTTGAAAAATATCATTGTTTGTTTCATAGATTTCATAATCACATTGGTTAATTAGATTTGTATGTATGAAGTGAAATTTACCTTTATTACTGCCCTCATTATATAAGAAGAGAAATGAAATAGGAGAGGTAGTTTGATCTTAAATAATTGACTTCAAAATTCATGATCAATTCCCACCTAAATAGGTGGAACTTGCAAGTCTGTGAAGTCCACGGATTTGAACCCTTAAAGTTCGTGGGACCAACGGATTTGTTGCCCCTAAAAGCATGAAGCAAACAATGAATTTTGGACAAAGTACATAATAGATCCAAATCTCTCACCAAATCCATCATGCATATCCCAACACTTGCATTCCATCCATAATTATAGTACACACATTACAAACAGCTAATTACTTTTTCTTGCAAAGACAAATAGAAGACTTAAGGCTAAAGCTAACACTCACTTATTTACCGAACAATAAGCTAGGATGACATGCTGACACACAATTGTATAGACATGACATCATCCTCCTTTCTTCAGTACAGCACAACAGCCATCAAGCGGACTGTGAAAAAAAAAAAAAAAAAAAGTTGAGTGATATCCTATCACGGTGGTGCCATGAGCATGGAACTACCGAACGGGTGAACTACAGATGAGACAGGATGTCAGAAGGGTATTTGCAGCATAACCACAGCCTTATCCACAGCTAACTGGAACTTCACATATCCATGTCATCAAATATTTCTCCATCTTCCTCGTTACTTAAGTTATCTATGCCCATCAAGTTACTGCACAAACCAACAGTATATGAGACAAATATGAGATCACTGGATATTGCAGGAAGAAACTGAAAGGCCAGCTCACGAGATTTACCTTACACAGCAGAAACATAAGCTCACAACCCGCTTTAGCTTTCTATTGTAGAAGAAGAAGCTGAAAGACCAGCTAAATACAACATATACAATCAAGTTACTAAGTTAGGCATCATGTTCTAGCAAGAAATAACCCAGTAAAGTATAGGGAAGGAAACAGGTACTGACATTGCACCCTTCTCTAGAAACGGGTCTGCATCAGAGTCGGGGTCATAACTGTAGATTTCACACTCAGGTAGATTTACAACCTGCATCACCAACCATGTATCAGAAATTTCTCTTGGGATGGCCTACCATATCCCTTCTTCCAAACAAGTGGAAAAGATCTTACCTCGTCTAGAGCTCTGTATAATGCTTCTAGCAATGAAGTGTCCCCATTTTCCTCCACCCATTCCTAGGCAAATGAAAACAATCATTGGATAGAAAGAAAGAAACTATACATTCCCTATCATCCACACGGCACAGGAAGAATAATAGACCAACAGACATAGCAAAAAAGACATGCAAGCAAGAGAGTCTCCAGTCAAAGTAAGAAACTGATATGCCGTTTTCCAAACGAACTGTAGTGCAAACCAACCTCATTTTAAGGACACAATTGCGGGTAACATATACATAATATAAGTGCGAGAATAATGGAAGCTTTACTGTGACGGTGTGGTCGAGGACAATCCAATAAAATCGAAACAGAAAAGCACATGACTCCTGTATTGAGATATGTGTAGGCAATTTCTATGTAAGATAGTGAAGGCAGCCATACATATCCATTCTGCACTCAATCAAGTGTACGTCACTTAAAACAGCAGAAGTCGAACATAATAAGCTACTACCTTTGATGCTCCAATCATGTAGTTATCAAAAATCTGCTTAAAAGTCTCCCAAGTTTCCTCTGTGAAGAACTGATGAGCTTTCATGGCACTGTGTAGCAAAGTACAAAAGATCCAATAAATCGAGAATAGCAAAATGACAAGATGGTATTTCCTCCCGTGCCCAAATCTTAATCATGCAAATGTCGAACAGCACAAGAAAACAAATATAAATAAGAAACTGCGGAGTTAGACTTGGGAAATGGAGAGACTTGAACTCTCAGCTCATCCTAGAGCAACAGCCAAATTGAACTGTCTGTCATGCCATTTGACAACACTCCCAATGCAAATGAAAAGAAGATTATAAAGCGGGTTACCATGTCGCCCAAAAAGCTGACAGTGGCATTACCATAATCCTCTTTTTATCATCAAGTGGAAACTGCATATAGGATGAGGAGTAAAGTACAGAGTTACCTGAAGTCACAGTCTGGATACATGCGAGAGAGTGTCAGAACAAGGTAAATCAAAGTCTTCCGGCTGAAACAGCAATAATAGATGACCAGTAAACATAACAAGAACTCATACTCTGTAAACCAAATCTATGTAGCATTCACCACCTGGATCTGCTCAAAAGGTATTCAGCAGGCGATAACGAATCTGTATCTGAAGACTTCCCAAGATAATCAAGGATCTGAAACAAGAAAATGTAGAAGTATCTTTTAAGGCTAATGGTATTACCACTTGACCAAGCCCTTGTTCGTGGCAGAGACCAGACACTTTCACATCATAATTTTTAAGGAAACCTACATACACCATATCAGTGCATACTTTATTGGGCTTTCTAAATGCTTTCCTTGCAGATATCAGACACAGACCATATTTGCTCCAAGTACACAAATAGAGCCCTTAAAACTGTAAAACAAAGAAGAAAAACCTACTCAATACAATTTGCTCCTATGGTTATCGCAATTCATTCAGAGAACAGGACATGACCCATGTCCTAGAAGGAATCCTAATCACAGCAATCAAGCATCTTTTTCCATGATTCCTACACCTACCAGTATTGTCTTCAAAAAGATTCGCAATAAAGAGCACACTACCTCATTCTCCAAACTGAGAGAAAGCTTTTTGTCAGATCCAGCGTGCTTGCCTTGAGAAAACACCAGAAACCAAGATATACATAAGATCATTCTTGGATGAGAACAGAAGTGGAAGACGGTTCAATAAGAAACATGACGTGTGAGGGCAAAGAACTTACAAGAGTAGGCCTCAAGGGACCCTTTGATGGTGCACTCTCCAAGATTCAAATGGTGCAGAAAACCATTTATCCTGCAATCCACCAGCCAGCAAAAGACACCCCATTTCATTTTCACATCAAAGAGCAGAAGAAACATAACGAGAGATGGAAGCCCATCCCTACTACGATTACAAATTCAAAGAAAGTAAGTGTCCCAGCATTTATATTTACCGTTCAAGCGGAGTGTACTCTAAGAACTTCATGATTTCACTTCCAACAAGTTTCTGCAAACATTTCAAGGATTACCTACACTAACTTACATGAACAGCTCCAGCGGGGACGAAATAGAACGACAAATTTCCCCCAAAATCGAATTTGAAATTGGTCCAAGAAACGGGGACGGGTCAACCAGATCCACATCTTCGAGGAAATTCCGAGTTAAATTCAGACAAGTGAGAGATAAGCGTACCTTCGCCACGAATTGACAGAGCGATCTTAGAGAAATTGCAGCAGAATCAGAGAAGGGATTTGACGAAAGCGGTTGTATAGAAATTCGAGGTTTGGGATCGGGGGGAAAACTAAATAAAATCGCCTATTAAAAAGAAAACAATCCGAATATTCGATGCATTGTATTTGGGTAATTAATCGAAATGGTCACATAGGTTTGGATAGTAACAAAATAATCACAAATATTTAAAACGTAACAAAAAAGATCATATACGTATCATGATATAACAAAAAGGTCATTTATTAGTTTGATGACAACAGTGCAAAATTGATAACAAAATATCAACCACCTAACCAACCTGTGAAATAGCTTCTTATTTAGAGCAAGCAAACTGGCAATGGAAATACATGGAATAACTGTTTTGTTACAACATGATACTTGCATGACCTTTTTGTTATGTTTTAAGTGTTTGTGACCATTTTGTTACTTGGTCAAACTTGTGTGACCATTTTGATCAATTACCCATTTGGGGGTGTGCCATCGGAAATCGGATACGAGTAAGGTGGAAATTGGTTCTTTAATGGTATCTCGTTATCAAATATTAATTTTTTTTAGTAAAAATCAAATATTAAAATTTTGAGTATCTAATCACACCTTAAAATCAATCACAATAATACCAATCTCAAAATAAATTTGGTATTTCAATCTTAAAATATTTTGCTCTCTCAATCAATAATACGAATACGAAACTAATTAACTTTGCAATTAATAATCAAATATGTAAATAAATAATGGTTTGAACAACCCTAATTTCGGAGCATTTTATATAGTGTAGGTTTCTACCGTTTAAGTTAACTTCGTAATTGAAATTTTTGGTTATGAGAATTTGGAGTGAGAAAAGTCTAAAAAAAAGCTAATCAAACTCATCATTGATTGGATTTAATCAAGTCTCCATTGAACTGGTTCATTATAGGTTCCCATTTAGCGCAAAGAGACTAGCCAAAGGGTTTGACTTCGTCTAGAGCTAGGACATGGATAAGGATAATGGAGGAGATGGTGATATATCAATTTACTGTCATTGGTAAATCTTAAATTCGATGGATTGGAGGTTGAGAGATGACAAATGAGAGTATGTTTTTTGGTTCATGAAAATAACAATATATTGAGTGAGAGACGAGAGTGACTTAAATTGGAGAGATGACTTGCTAAAACACAACACCAAACTACGACCAAGTATAATCGTAGAATGGAAATGCAGAATAATGAGTAAGGTTTACTTATATATAGTAATTCTACGCCTGGTCCACATCCTAAATTATTATTGATTGTTCACGTAGTGACCTATATTGGTACAAATGATGAACGGAAATGGTAGTGCGAGTTGTGTTGAGAAATGTGAATACTTGGTAAAAGCTAAAGGAAAATCCTTGAAAAAATGTAAGCGAAATTAATTCAAATGAATTCTTCAATCAGACATAATTGACCAAGTTAACGGAAAGTTCCAATCAATTGGATTGATTTTCCATATTGAAGGAATCTTTCATGATCAGAACAATTACCCGTACTAACGGAAAGTTTCAATCAATCGGATTGATTTCTGGTATTGAAGGAAACTTTTATCAATTGGGTTAATTGTCTCTATTAAAGTAAGGTCTAATCATAAGTTATTAATTTTGATTTGCTTAATAAGATTCTTGATTTAGATCTAAATGCACATATTTTACCCCTCATTTCTTGATAGTTTGACTTTGCATTTCATCGTCTCTCGACCTATTTTACGCTAGGGTGTACTTGTTTTGTCATATTTCAGGTCCTATCTCGTGTAGGAAGGTTGAGGACGAGTTTCGAGTCGATTGGAGGTCGAAAATCGCGAAGAAGTGAAGAAAAGTCCAAAGAGACCGTGACAATTGCCCCGAGACCGTGAAGTGCGGAGGTTCCAGAGAAGTTTTTGGTCTCACTGGATTCAAGCCAGTTCACGGTCGTAAGATCGTGAACTCAAGCCAATGACCGTGAACTGAGTTAGTGAAGCGGCGCGCTTTGGCTCGAGATCACGGTCCCCGCCTTGAGTTCACGGTTGTGAAGTGGGACTATGATCTGAGCCTGATCAGGGTATAAAAAGGGAAGTGAATTGAAGGAGTAATGGGTATTTTTCTAGGGTTTTAGTTTCATAATTGATTCGGGTCTAATTGTACATGTTTTGCCCCCATTACTTAGGGGTTTGTGCCAAATTCACTCTTAAAAGGTTGGTTTTACGCTAGGTTCCTCGTGTTTTAGTGTGTTTCAGGATTTAACAAGTGAAACATGATCGAAAGATAAGAGCGAAAGCAACTCGACTATAAAGGAGAGGAGCAGCCTCAGAGTCGAAAGTTGGGCAAAAAGGATAAAAAACCGAGAGAAGAGGTGAAAAATGGCCAGTTCACGGCTATCCAAAGAAGTTCACGGTCTTGCATGACGGTGAAGAAGAGCCCTTGACCGTGAATCGCGAGGCGTCCAGATCCAAAACAGAGGTTACTGACGCAAGGCAAGTTCACGATCGCTAAGACCGTAAACGAAGGCTGTTGACCGTGAACAGGAGAGATTGAAGCAGTACGTTTTGGCGCACGCCTGCAGTTCACGGACGCGTTTCGTGGTTCACGACCGTGAACTCAGGCCGTGAACTGAGCTCGTCTCTCGTTTAAATGATGAGCTGAAAGGAGGAGAGAAGGGAGAGCCCACTTTGTGTGAAAAGCCTTCTTCAGATTTCTAGAGAGAGAAACACGAACCAAGGAAGAAGAAGACTTGGGTTTTGCTTCAAGGTGGATTTTGGGAAGATTTCCTCCAAGGAAAGATTAACACAAGGGCCAAGGAGACTGGGAGCATCCTCCAAGATGGTTTCCTCTTCTTCTCTTTGTGTTTCCCCATTTCTAGCATGGAGTAAATCTCCTTTCACTTGGGTGTTGTGATCATCTCTTACTACTTACCACCCCCCAAACACCTCTCCTCCTCACGGAATCGTATGCTAAGGACAAAATGTACCTTTTAACGATTCATGAGACGTCATAGCTCTCGTTTGTATCTGACATGTGTGGCAACCCAATGTGGAGTGCAGACTGGGACGTGGTGCTCGGGCTAAGACGTTGTCGACCATCAATTTGCCCACATGTGACCTTGAAAGGGAAGGCTATAATTCATCCGCTCTTGGTGATGAGGAAGAGATGCTAAAATGCAAAGGAAAAAAAATTTCAAAGCTTCAGTGCAATGTGCATGAACGAAGTAAAAGGAGACCGAAAAAAATGACAACTCGTACACCAAAAGAAAGAATAAAAGCACCTCCAATAGTCTAGTAGTTATTTGTTTTTGAGAATCCCCCGGAGCACATTTTTAATGATCGGCCTAAGGTAGTAGATATGATCCTCATACGAGAGTTTGTGCTTGCACAGTAGGAAAATAGTAGCGTTCATTCATCCCCGTTACTCTTATCTATGCAATGAAGAACTAGCATGCATACCTCATTGATTTGTCTATCATATTACATTTGGTTTGAGTAGGTTTGGTTGGGGGCAAGCAAACACCTAAGTGTGGGGGGAGTTTTATAAACCAAAATTGGTGCTATTTACCCTACATATCGAGGTGTGTTTTGTGCATATTCATGTTCTTAAATGTTTGAATATCGTCAAACACATCCCTATTGCGTTCCTATTAAATTTTGATGTGATTTTAGGGTGTATTAGTCGATATGTGCGAATTAGGTACAAAACAAGGTCACAAGTGTAGAGAAGGGGCAGGAATTGAAGATCGTGGTCTCGAATGATCACGGTAGAGATCACAAGCCGCGAAGTCCAGTTGAAGATCGCGGCCAGAAGGGATAGATCATGACCGCGATCTTGGAGGCTCGGGACACGAACTTCGTGAGGAAGGAGCCTTGAAGAAGCAGAGAGTCTCCTCAGTCGGCCCGTGAGGAAGATCATGACCATGACTCATGGATAGAGACCTCAAAGTCAGCCCGTGGTCTTCCCGTTCCCGAAGGACTCGACGACTGCGTTTTGAGATCATGGCCCAGAGACCAAAGATCCCACCCGCGATATCCTTACCTCAGGTTGCGAACTTTCCCGAATCCATAATTCCTATAAATACATGACCCCTTTCCCTTTTGAAGGGAGCTGATTTGTAGAGAAACTTTCTGGTTCTAGAGAGAGAGAAGAGAGAGAAGCTGAAGGAAGGAAAAGAGAAGGAGGAGGAGCTAGGATCAGAGAGGCATCTTCTTCAACCTCAAGTCTTCTTCTATTTCTACCATGTATCTTTTTCCCTCCTTTATGGAGTAGTCCTCTAAGGTACTAGGGGTTCTAAACCCCAAACCCTATTTTTAGGGTTTACTATGTATGTATGTATGCATATTTTAGGGTTTGAATGAATGAATGTGTTTGTCTAGTTGATTTTAATGCCACTCTTTCCTAAATGATGACGCTTGGGTAAGTCGCCCTAATCTTCCATCTTAGCCTACTTTATGCTACCGCGGTGGGTATGGAGTTATAGGGTTAGACGTGTATGCGCTATCTGGTAAGTTTAGGTTAGATGTGTGAATGGGGCCTATTGTGGTGGAGGCGACCGAACCCCTTCTATAGGTAGCCTTCCTAGATGGAACCCGGGATGAAACTTCGGTTTGGACGGTGGATAGTGTCCATTGAAATGAGCCATAAGCTTAAATTCTCAAATACAATAGCCTAGATCGAGGCGACTTGAACATGGGTTTAGGGACGGTGTACTTGGAGGCATGTGGATAACCATGAAATCACATGGAAAATAGCTCACTCACCACATTCGATGACCCTAAGTATC